GCACCGCCGTTGTCTGCCACCAGATGGCCAGCAACAACAACAACTGCGAGGAGGCTTCTGATGAGTTGGACCGAACCCTGACCAATCTGTCTGCGGCAGAGACCTCCGATGCTGCTGGAGCGGTGGATGCGGTCAACAACTCGTCCTCCGCCGCCTCTCGTTCAGCCTCCTTCTCCTTCCCACGCAGCAGCACTGACGTCAAAGATGCCGAGAAATGTGAGTCTTCCCTACGCCATCTGTTACTGCTATTACTTTTTTTCCTTTTATACCGTAAGCTGGGTTTTCTTGGCGGTTTATTTCCTCCCGGCGGGGCTAGTTCGACTGATATACTAGAGCGTAATTTGACCAGCTTTTAACTAGGTAGGTGTACTTGCCAACGACGCTGGATTCAAAACTTCTGAGAATATCGTATATGAACATTGCTTGTGGGCGGTAGGTTCTGTTTCTTGTTACCAATCGGTACTGCATTAATGTCGCCTCCCTGCCTTCAGGCAGTGTTGATGGGGAAACTTGAAAAAAGGATTTTCAACAGGACGACAAGTTGGGTGGTGTCGTAGGCGGATTACGGTGAGTGGCACTTAAATGTCCGAGAATTGTAGTTTGTGAGCAGTTGTTGTACCAACTTACTCCCTTAACCTAGTTTGCCAGAATACGTGTTATAAATGTTTAAGAAAGATGAAGGTATAATTTTTTTAAGAAAGATGAAGGAATTCGGCGGCTTTGTCTGGGCGAAGCCATAGGTCCTCATGCGTGAGGTCCGTAGGGTTGGCCGGGCAATCGAAGAGGTGGCACGTTGTGTGGAAAGGTAGGAGGCAGTCAGGGCAGTTGTCTGTGACGTTGTCGAAGCATGAGGTGAGACGGCATTTGAATGAATTCAGCAGCGTGGAGAAGCCGGAACGCAGCTGGGATAGTTTGGTTCTGGCTTTTCTGGACAGGTTGGCCTACGTTCTCTAGCCGTGACGTCGGAGACCGGCGGAGGAGCGTTGAGGACTCTGTTAGGTTTGTAGCTGCTAATGGCTTGCTCGACAGTTTTGGTGTGGATACGTTTAACGAGCAGTGAGGGGGGGGGGTGGTTGTAAAAAGGGTTCATTCAAACTAAGCGTACCTAAGAGATGACCTCGTGATCATAGTTCAGACAAAGAGAGTAGAAGTAGTATACAATAACGAAATTCCCACGTAAAGGGCAGCTCAAGTTCCAAAGACAGCCACGACCTTCCTTAACTTAAAGGTGTTGGATGGATCCAAATACTGACAAAGGTTAATCTCCCGCGATCAAACCATCGATGGGGAGATATAGAATGAGAATAATTTTCTTTGACTGACGTTTCGAAATCTGTCGCGGATCCATCATTAACAGAAACAGCTTATAGAATGATTATAAATAGTTTTATTACTTCTTTTTATAGTTTTACTTTCCGCTTTCCTCTATTGTTGCCGTTCATGGCCGTATGCATACCTGTTACCCTGTGGTAGGGTAGGTAGCGGTTCTGTAATGTCGACAGAATCATGTCTCCGCCCGCTCGAATCACATAATAAGCCAAAGCTAGGTTGCGATCTGTAGCTAGCGCAGTAGGGCTCACTGCTCATTTGCCTTTTTTCCCCATCCTCGTAGATGCATGATGCTCCCGTTTTTCACCTACCGGACAACGGCAGTGCTAAAGTTGTTAACTTTTCAGCTTCTCATGGCTGTTGTGTTTGTTTGTTTCTCATAAAAACGACAGTCTGACGGTGCGCTTCACTTTTTTTGTCAATTTCCGGTAAAGTGCCTCTTGAACTGTGTGGTCGTTGAACCTATAGCAT